GGTAAATCTTCCATCCCTTTATTTTGAGTCTATGTGTCTTTGCATGTGAGATGGGTCTCCTGAATACAGTATGCTGATGGGTCTTGACTTTTTATCCAATTTACCAGTCTGTGTCTTTGATTGGGGCATTTAGCGTGTTTACATTTAAGGTTAATATTGTTATGTGTGAATTTGATCCTGCCATTTTGATACTAGCTGGTTGTTTTGCTTGTTAGTTGATGCAGTTTCTTCATTGTTTTGATGGTCTTTCCCATTTGGTACACTTCCACAGTGGCTGGTACTGATTGTTCCTTTCCATGTTTAATGCTTCCTTCAAGAGGAAGGAAGGCAGGTTTGGTGGTGACAAAATCTCTCAGCAGTTGCTTGTCTTAAAGGATTTTATTTCTCCTTTGCTTATGGAGCTCAGTTTGGCTGGATATAAAATTCTGGGTTGAAAGTTCTTTCCTTTAAGGATGTTGAATACTGGCCCCCACTCTCTTCTGGCTTGTTTCTGCCAAGAGATTCACTGTTAGTCTGATAGGCTTCCCTTGTGTAACCCAACATTTCTCTCGGGCTGCTGTTAGCATTTTTTCCTTCATTTCAACCCTGGTGAGTCTAACAGTTATGTACCTTGCGGTTGCTCTTCTTGAGGAATATCTTTGTGGTGTTCTCTGTATTTCCTGGATTTGAATTTTGGCCTGACTTGCTAGCTTGGTGAAGTTCTCCTGGATAATGTCTTGAAGAGTGTTTTCCAGCTTGGATTCATTCTCCCATCACATTCAGGTACACCAATCCCATGTAGATTAGGTCTTTTCACATAATCCCACATTTCTTGGAAGCTTTGTTCATTTCTTTTCACTCTTTTCTCTAATCTTGCCTTCGTGTTTTATTTCATTTAGTTGATCTTCAGTCTCTGCTATCCTTTCTTCTGTTTAATCGATTCAGCTATGTGTATGCTTTGCAAAGTTCTCATGCTGTGTTTTTCAGCTCCATCAAGTCATTTATGTTCTTGTTTAAGCTAGTTATCCTAGTTGGCATTTCATCATGTAATTAATAAAATGCATTCATTGGTACCAATTAAATGTTATTATGAATAATGGGAAAAGAATGAGATACTGAGAAAAGATCATAATTGAGACAGAAAGGAGTAGTATCACACATAGAATACCCTGAAAAATAAAATAAAGAATGTAACTTACCTATTCATACAGTAATAGCATTAGATATTATTATTAAAATAGCACCCATTATGAAACACTTTTTATGTCTGCTCATAACACCTGAAAAATAAAAATAAAGACATTTAGGAGATTTCTGGCTCCAAATTGATGGCACAGAAGCAAGTTGGCTTTAATGAAAGCCAACTTTCAGAAAACAACAACAACAACAACCACAAATTAGTGCTGTGATTGTTACCAGCCATATCCCAGAACTCAAATATGAGAAAGAGACAGATCTTGGAGCCACAAAAAAGTGAAAAGACAAACAAACAAAAAACTCTGTACAGATAATAAGAGAATTAGATTTCTGTATCCATGATGACTCTCCTTGCAATCTTCCCAGTACCCAGGTGCATGGTAACATCATTTCTATAATGGAAAATGTGAGATTAAGATGGATAACCAGCTTCTCCACAAGCTGGACTTCCCTGGCAGGAAACTTGCCCCTGCCTTAACCCTTGAGAAACATCAGGCATGCCTGAAGAGAGACATACCTCTCAGGACAAGCAGAGACAAAGTGATGAGGAAGGACTACCATCCCCAGTACCAGAAACTCTGCTCTATTACTTGGCCAAAGAAGTTGTCAACTTAGAGGGGCTGCTGAGCAGCAGCATGCTATAGGAGGTCTGTTCCACAAATCCTGTGGGCTGGAATCCTAGTCAGTCTTCCAACACTACTGGCATATCTACTTTGGAACCTCTCCCATTTGGTATGGATGGCACTCTGATTGTTTACTAGGATCAAGGCAAACATGGGTTAAGGTACCATGTAGTCATAAAAAGGAGGCAGAAACATAGCCTCGCCCCCCAAAAAACAACAAGTAAATTACAAGGAACACTTAAACTACTTGTTTAAGTGTTCAATATAAACCAAAACAAGCCATATAAAATCCTTCAACACAAAAATATAGATGCATACCCATAAGAAACAACAGCAAACAGGGAACTGTGATGTTCTCAAATGGAGAAAGTTGGAACCAGAGACAGGTGTTAATGAGATGGCAATATCTGAGCACTTGTACCAAGCATTCAAAATAGTAGTTTTAAGAAAACTCTGTGGTCTCCAAAATAACACACAAAAATTCAGAAATTTATCAGAGAAATTTCACAAAGGGACTGAAATACTTTTTGAATATCAAAAAGAAATATTGGAACTGAAAAATACATTTGCTTAACTGAAAATTTATTAGAGTCTCTCAAAAGGAGAATGGATCAAGCAGAAGAAATAATCAATGAGCATGTAGATGGGCTTTTGAAAATACACAAGAAAAGGAGAAAAAAGAATAAAGAGAAATGAAGAATGCCTACATGTTATAAAAAATTACTGCAAAAGACCACATCTAAGAATTATTGGTGTTCAAGAGAGAGTCCAGCCAGAGCAAGGGGTGGAAAGCCTATTCAAAGAAACAACAATAGAAAGCATTCCAAATCTTGAGAAAGAGATATTCAGGTAGATAAAGGTCAGAGAACACCAAACAGATTTCAACCCAAACAAGACTACCCCTAGGCATATAATAAATAATCTAACTCTCAAATGTCAAGGACAAAGAGAGGATCCTAAAATCAGCAAAAGAAGAGAAGCAAATTGCATCTAAAGGAGCTCCAATTTATCTGAGGACAGACTTCTCAGTGGAAACCACACAGGCCAGGAGGAACAGAGATGATGTTTTCTTAAGTGCTGAAAAAAAATAAAAACCTGCCGTCTAAGAACATTGTATCCTACAAAGCAATCCTTTAAATATGAAGAAGGGATAGTCTTTCCCAGACAAGAAAAAACTGAGAGTATTCACCACCAGTCATATCTTATAAGAAATGCTCTTTTAGCAGAGATGGCGGCGGCAGCAGCTCGAGCCGTCCTGTTACCCGCGGCGCGGCGGCGGTTGTGGGGTTTCGGCGAGAGGCTGCTGATTCGAAGCGTTGCAGGACGGTCATCATATTTTGGAGAGAATAGATTGAGAAGTACACAAGCTGCTACACAAGTTGTTCTGAATGTTCCTGAAACAAGAGTAACAAGTTTAGAAAGCGGACTTAGAGTGGCCTCTGAAGACTCTGGGCTCTCAACATGCACAGTTGGACTCTGGATTGATGCTGGAAGTAGATATGAAAATGAGAAGAATAATGGAACAGCTCACTTTCTGGAGCATATGGCTTTCAAGGGCACCAAAAAGAGATCCCAGTTAGATCTGGAACTTGAGATTGAAAACATGGGTGCTCATCTCAATGCCTATACCTCCAGAGAGCAGACCGTTTACTATGCCAAAGCATTCTCTAAGGACTTGCCAAGAGCTGTAGAAATTTTTGCTGATATCATACAAAACAGCACCCTGGGAGAAGCAGAGATTGAACGTGAGCGTGGAGTAATCCTTAGAGAGATGCAAGAAGTTGAAACCAATTTACAAGAAGTTGTTTTTGATTATCTTCATGCCACAGCTTATCAGAATACTGCACTTGGACAGACAATTTTGGGGCCAACTGAAAATATCAAATCTATAAGTCGTAAGGACTTAGTGGATTATATAACGACACATTATAAGGGGCCAAGAATAGTTCTTGCTGCTGCTGGAGGTGTTTCCCATGATGAATTGCTTGACTTAGCAAAGTTGCATTTTGGTGACTCTTTATGCACAGACAAAGGAGAAATACCAGCTCTGCCTCCCTGCAAATTCACAGGAAGTGAGATTCGTGTGAGGGATGACAAGATGCCTTTGGCATATTTTGCAATAGCTGTTGAAGCTGTTGGTTGGGTACATCCAGATACAATATGTCTCATGGTTGCAAACACGCTGATTGGCAACTGGGATCGCTCTTTTGGAGGAGGAATGAATTTATCTAGCAAGCTGGCCCAGCTCACTTGTCATGGCAACCTTTGCCATAGCTTTCAGTCTTTCAATACTTCCTACACAGATACAGGATTATGGGGACTGTATATGGTTTGTGAACCAGCCACCATTGCAGACATGCTACATGTTGTTCAGAAAGAATGGGTGCGACTCTGTACAAGTGTCACCGAAAGTGAGGTTGCACGAGCCAGAAATCTTCTGAAAACGAATATGTTGTTGTAGCTTGATGGTTCAACTCCAATTTGTGAAGATATTGGTAGGCAAATGTTATGCTATAATAGAAGGATTCCCATCCCTGAGCTTGAAGCAAGAATTGATGCTGTGAATGCTGAGACAATTCGAGAAGTATGTACCAAATATATTTATAATAAGAGTCCAGCTATTGCTGCTGTTGGTCCCATTGAGCAACTACCAGATTTTAATCAGATTTGCAGTAACGTGTGTTGGCTTCAGAATTAAAATGCTCCTAATCAAAATTTTTTGAGCCGGGCACGGTGGCTCATGTCTGTAATCCTAGCACTTGGCAAGGCTGAGGCGGGAGATTGCATGGTCAGAAGTTCGAGACCAGCCTGGCCAGCATAATGAAACCTCATCTCTAGTAAAAATATTAAAAAATTACTTGAGCGTGGTGTCGCGCACCTGTAGTCCCACCTACTTGGGAGGCTGAGGCAGGAGAATCGCTTGAACCTGCAGGCAGGGGTTGCACTGAGCCAAAATTGTGCCACTGTACTCCAGCCTGGGCAAGAGAGTGAGACTCCATCTCACACACAAAAAACTAAGACCTAGAAAAAAATAAAAATAAACATGTATATACATTTGGAAATTTAAATGAAATACTGTATCATACTTTCAAAGGATAAAAAGACTGCCCTCTGAAGGTTGTTTTGCATCAGCGGTTAGTCCTTGTCCTCTGAGAAATTATGTTGTAAGGAGCACACTTTTAATTATTACCATAGGTATAATTTTAAGAATGAAAATGTTTACAGTATTTTCAGTTTTATTATAAAAATGCACACATAACAAAGATTGTCATTAAGTCATTTCTTGGCTCTACTTGCATTCAGCACTTGTTCTTGAGCAGCTTTCTTTGCTTTTACCATCTCAACAAGTTCCTAGGAAGGGAGAAAGGTGTGATTTAAGAAGTCAGATTTTAAAAACAGACATTTTAATCTAGCGTTTGATATAAATATGTAAAGAATTCAAGATTCGCTATCTGCCAGGGCTAGAAAGTTTCTAAGGCTGCTCATTTCTTCCTAATAATATTGGCCCCATAACTACTGGTATTGAAATAAGCAATATGTTAACCACTTAATAGACATACAATGTGACCTAAATTATGTAACCTAGACTATACAACCCTAAATACCACAGATTTTCTTTCCTCTCTTGGAAAAAAGATGGAAGTGACATGGCAGTATTTTCCTGCTCTTCTCTCCTCATTTCACAATACCAAAATAAATGATACTATATAACACAAGTTACAACTGAAAATAAAACAATCTATAAACTCTAAATCTGCAACCTTGTATCGTTTCATGCAGTCCTTCTTTGTCCTGCCAGGCACAGCTTCTGCTATTTTTTCCCATCTTTCAGGTGTATTTACTGGGTATGTTTTCAAAGCTTGTTCCAAAATCTTCTGTTCTTCTGTTGTCCAAGGTGTAAAGTCCGTATATGGACCTGTATAAGAAAAATTTTTGTTTGAAAACTGTTAACTTGATTGGTTAAAAAACTGTCTTGAGAACATGTGCCCAGACAAGTCTTGTGGTCCACACGTGTCTGCTAAGTGCCCATTTCAATCTGGGATGTGTCATTTTGAAAATAAACTTCTAGAGATGAGAGAAAAAAAAAAAAAAAAGAAATGCTGAAGAAAGTTTTTCAAGCTGAAAGAAAAAAAATATGCAAAAAGAAAACAGCTGAATATATACAGAATACACTGATAAAATTACATGTATGGACAAACCCAGAATACTCTAAAAACTATAATTGTGATGCACATCTACTGACATCTGAAGTATGAAGTCCAGAAGACAAATCTATCAAAGACAATAATAGCTGCAGAAACCTGTTAAGAGGTAGGTAATAAAAATATGGAAGTTGAGACAACTAACTTAAAAGATGTGTGAGGGTGGAGTAAAAGTATTTGTTACCTTTGTTTCTATTCTTTTTTTTTTTTTTTTTTTTTTTCCGAGACGGAGTTTTGCTCTTTTTACCCAGGCTGGAGTGCAATGGCGCGATCTCGGCTCACGGCAACCTCCGCCTCCTGGGTTCAGGCAATTTTCCTACCTCAGCCTCCTGAGTAGCTGGGATTACAGGCACGTGCCACCATGCCCAGCTAATTTTTTTTTGTATTTTTAATAGAGACGGGGTTTCACCATGTTGACCAGGATGGTCTCGATCTCTTGACCTTGTGATCCACCCGCCTCGGCCTCCCAAAGTGCTGGGATTAGAGGCGTGAGCCACCGCGCCCGGCCTATTCTTTTCTTTATAAGTTGTTATCTCTTTAAAATAACTTGTTATATCTATAAGATGTTTTTATAAGCCTCATAGTAATCACAACACAAAACCTATGATAGAATCACTAAAAATCAAAAGCATCTAATTAATATATACTACAAGAGAAAATTATATGACCACAAAGAATGATCATAAGAAAACAGAGATAAATTTAAAAACCATAAAACAAGCAACAAAATAGCCATAATAAATCCTTAATAATAATGACAACAGAATTTAAATGAAGTCAACTCTCCAATTAAAAGTCACAAAATGCAGGCCAGGTGCAGTGGCTCATGGCTGTAATCCTAGAATTTTGGGAGGCCAAGGCAGATGGATCACATGAGGTCAAGAGGTCAAGACCAGCCTGGCCAACATAGCAAAACCCTGTTTCAACTAAAAAAACAAAACTTAGTTAGGTGTGATGGTGGATGCCTGTAATCCTGGCTATACAGGAGGCTGAGACAGGAGAATCACTTGAATCAAAAAGGTGGAGGTTGCAGTGAGCCAAGATCATGTCACTGTACTCCAGCCTGGGCAACATAGCAAGACACATGCACACGAATGTTCATTGCAGCACTGTTTACAATAGCAAAGACTTGGAACCAACCTAAATGCCCATGGGTGATAGACTGGACAGGAAAAATGTGGCACATATGCACTATGGAATACTATGCAGCCATAAAAAAAGATCAGTTTTTGTCCTTTGTAGGGATATGGATGAACCTGGAAACCATCATTCTCAGCAAACTGACACAAGAACAGAAAATCAAACACCGCATGTTCTCACTCATAGGCGGGTATTGAACAATGAGAACGAATGGACACAGGGAGGGGAGCATCACACACTGGGGTCTGCAGTGGGGAAATAGGGGAGGGAGAGTGGTGGGTGGGGAGTTGGGGAGGGATAACATGGGGAGAAATGCCAGATATAAGTGATGGGGAGGAAGGCAGCAAACCACATTGCCATGTGTGTACCTATGCAACAATCTTGCATGTTCTTCACATGTACCCCAGAACCTAAAAATGCAATTTTACATATATATATATATATATCAAAGCTTCCAGTCTCAGAACATTCCTCCATCTCAAAATGCCACAGGAACCCACAATTATTTTCTCTATCTTTACTCCCTTAGATTAAAAAAAAATGATCTTTTCCAGAAATGATAGGAGTTCTACCTATTTTTGTCTCATGTTCTGGAAATGTCTTCAGTCTTGACTTTTAGAAGTAAAGATGGAAGGCATCTAGACAGTGCATCTATCACATCCTGACCAACCTGCTTCAGCCTACTTCTGCCACCTGTTCCTTAGTGAACAGCTCTGCTTATGAAACAACATCCATTTTAGTTTATCTCTAATTCTAATGACTGCTTTCAGCCCAGCTTTTATTTATTTATTTTCTCCATTTTACCACCTTCTATACGTTTCTCCAGAGTGTGTTTCTAATGCCTCCATGAGATGCTTGGGATAAATGGGTTAGAATATTAATTATATACCTTTAAAGTCAAGTTTGTACAATATCTTTCTTTTAGTCTAGGAGAATGTTATATAAAATTATGTAAATAATGGATAGCAAATTGGAAGAGGTTTTAATAAACCCACTGAAGCAAATAGATACCTAGATGAAAAATATGTGGATTGAGATTGAAATATATGGATTGGATTTAAGTCTCAATTGAGATTTAAATTGTCTGAATTATAGTGTGGTATATAATATTTAATTAGCTAATATGAATCTTAGGTTAGCTAATATCCTTTTACTTTCCCATGTCCACCAATTTGAACTAATACCAAAGGGGTATGATCTTTCACCTCAAATGCAATTGTCACAGGAAACCTCTGCTAATGATTTTAGCTATACAATTCAAAGCATTTTCTTTTTCTGCTATTTGCATGCAGATACCAGCTTGTATAAGATTATTCTATATTTCTTATTCCAATTTTCAGGATGGAACCCGAGTTTTCGGCAAGTGTGGAGGGTACTGTGGAAAGTGTCTTCCTCACATGACTACTGGTCTCCCAATTCGAGTCATATGAACATTCAGATGGGGGAAATATGCCCTGAAGAGGAATGTTCTCTGGAACATGCAAATAACTGGTGCTCATATTTTTATTTCTCCCTTCCCAGGATTTCCATGTCAAATATGTTTCTGCCTTTTTTTTCAGGGTGCTAATCAGGGATTCAAATCACTGCTTAATGAGGCCTATAAAATAAACTTAAGAGATGTATGATTCTAATCAGGAGTTTTGCTAAAGAACATAATATTTGGTAATAGAGAATATCAGATTGAATGAATTATACCAAGACAATGTTGCTCTTAACATCTTGGACTGGACCACATTTATTTTACACCTATAAACACACATGTAAATCTCTGCTCAGTATCATACTGTGCAATGAAATGTTAATTCTACTTGCTAAAATGGAACAACTAAATATTAGGATAATAAACATTCTAAATTGCTATAAACATTATTGAATCTTTCAGGTGAATAGCAAATCAATAGTTACATAAAAAAGCACAGAGCCATTATGCTTTCTACTCATACAGTTTAGATACCTCATTTTATTTTTTCTTTAATTTTTACTTGTGGATCATGGTGCTTCAATTACAAAACCGTCCTCAAAATGAAGTATGAATTGCTTATTAAAAAATGCATGTTTGAGTTTAATAAAAAATTTTGTGGATATAATAAACACATGATATAATTAAATTTTAAAAATCGACCTCAAATTTGACTGTACTTATAAGAACAATACATTGTTTTAACAATGTTGTTTTGCCTTTATAATTCTTGTGTGTGTATATATATATTCTTTAAAAATCTATTTTCTCAAAGTTATATACTGTATTCTGTTAATTAGAGAAGTGAGAATTCTTTTGAAGATCTTATTTTGGTAAACATAAAATTATATTTGCATATGTAAAAGTTTTATTAGAGATGTTTAAGTTATTTTATATCAGAGGTTTCTCAAAGCCAGAGCATAAAGGAGTATAAAAATTCACTATCAATGGACAAATTCTCAGGTATTAAGAGTTTTTTTTTGTTCGAATAATTTAATCATGTATTACATAACAATGTGCTTTTGAAAGACATGTTGACAAATAATATTTTTCTAAGGCAACTTACTCTGACAACCAAAAATATAAATTAAAATGGAATTTACTAATAGATTTTTGCCAATGAATACTACTGTACTTGTTTTACGCACAGTGTTTTTCTCCCAACCAACCATTTATGAGAGATGTATTGTATCATATAAAGCACTAATGCAATTTTGTTTCAATGTGGTTAAATAAATATTTGAAGATCTCTGTATCAAAAGAAGTATTTTGTATTATGTGCCTTAAGCCAGTTACAAACATTAATACAAAATGTGTGACATTATCCAGGAATCTTCTCATGCATATTTAAAATATTATAATTTATAAACATTTAAATAATAAACATATTTTTATGATTCATTAGCAATTTGTTTTTATTGTCTTTATTTAACTTTAGAAAGTTAAAAAGAGAACTTTCACTGTAAATGTCTATAACTCTAACTACTTCAGAAATTCTAAGAATTTTTTTTTTTTTGTGATAGGGTATTGTTCTTGTTGCCTAGGCTGAAGTGCAATGGTATGGTCTCAGCTCACTGCAGCCTCTGCCCTCCAGGTTCAAGTTATTCTGCCTCAGCCTCCCTAGTAGCTGGAATTACATGGCAAGAAGCAGGTCCTTGTAATATATCGTCTTCAGCCTCTCTAGGTATTGCCACAGTACCTCCAAAATGGTTAAATACATTGCCTCTGGGAGAGAATAAAAGTTTTAATCCATCTGGAGTTAATTTTAGTGTAAGGTGTCAGGAAGGGGTCCAGTTTCTGCTTTCTGCACATGGCTAGCCAGTTTTCCCAACACCATTTATTAAACAGGGAATCCTTTCCCCATTGCTTGTTTTTGTCCGGTTTGTCAAAAATCAGATGGTTGTAGATACGTTGTGTTTCCTCCGAGGCCTCTGTTCTGCTCCATTGGTCTATATCTCTGTTTTGGTACCAGTACCATGCTGTTTTGATTACTGTGGCCTTGTAGTACAGTTTGAAGTCCGGTAGTGTGATGCCTCCTGCTTTGTTCTTTTTGCTTAGAATTGACTTGGCTATGCGGGCTCTCTTTTGGTTCCATATGAAGTTTAAGGTGTTTTTTT